CTTTGCATAGAGTGCATCACGTTCCCGAAATTAGAAGGAACATTGTTAGTGGTTCCATTCTAGTCAGGGAGGGTTATGAATCGTCTTTTAAATTAAATAAAGTTGTAATTTTATTTGGTGGACTTTTTATTGGCAAGGGTTACTTGTCAGATGGACTTTTTAAGATTGTGGTTGATTATTTGGAATTAAATTATATATCTGAGAATTGTGATTCTTCTTGTTTATGGCATTGTCGTTTGGGTCACGTTAATTTAGATTCTGTAAAAAGAATGATGAATTTAAATTTAATCCCTAAGCACTCTATTGATAAAACTAAGAAATGTATGGTATGTGTTATAACTAAACAAGTAAGAAAACCTTATCATTCAATTGATAGAAATTCAGAATTACTTGATTTAATTCATACCGACATTTGTGAGTTTAATGGAGTGCTTACTCGTGACCAAAAGAAATACTTTATCACTTTTATTGATGATTATTCTAAATATTGCTATGTGTATCTACTTAAGGGTAAAGATGAAGCTCTTGAAAAATTCTTAATTTTTAAGAATGAAATAGAGAATCAAACTGGCAAGAAAATTAAAAGGTTAAGATCTGATAGGGGAGGAGAATATACTTCTAATTTAGTTGTACTAGAATGCCAAAAATATGGTATAGTACATGAAGAAACACCTCCTTATTCACCACAATCAAATGGAGTAGCTGAACGGAAAAATAGAACTTTTAAAGATATGATTAACAGTTTATTAGAGAATTCTGGATTATCAAAGTTTATGTGGGGGGAAGCCTTGAATACTGCATGCCATATTCTGAATAGAATTCCCATGAAACATAAAGATAAGTGTCCATTTGAACTCTTGACGGGTCGAAAACCAAGTTTGAAATATTTTAAAGTGTGGGGCTGTCTTGCAAAAGTTTTAGTCCCTGAACACAAAAGAAAGAAACTTGGGCCTAAAACTGTTGATGCTATTTTTATTGGTTATGTTGAACATTCTTATGCATTGAGATTTTTGGTTATTAAATCTGAAATTTCTGGCATAGATGTCAATACTATTGTAGAACTTCGTGATGCTACTTTCTTTGAAGATGTTTTTCCAATGAAAACAGGTGTGCCCCAAAATACTTCTTTTAAAAATCAAGAAACCACATTTAATTCAATTCCTAATCAAGTGGAAAAGATGATAAATGTGAGGGTAAAATCTAGTAATTCTAGTCATATTGATTTTGAATCAAATGATCTAGATGAGCCAAGAAGGAGCAAACGAGCTAGGATCACTAAGGATTTTGGAAGTGATTTTATCACTTACAATATTGAGGGTGATCCAATTTCCTTTAGAGATGCAATGGCCACATCCGAGGCCATTTATTGGAAGGATGCCATTAAAAGTGAAATGGACTCTATTGTTCAAAATGGAACATGGGAGCTTGTTGACCTTCCTCCTGGTTGTACCACTATTGGATGTAAATGGATTTTTAAAAAGAAGTTAAAACCCGATGGAACCATTGATAAATATAAGGCCAGATTAGTTGCTAAGGGTTATAAACAAAAAGAAGGTATTGATTTTTTCGATACATATGCTCCTGTTGCAAGAATGACCACGATAAGAATGCTCATAGCATTGGCCTCCGTATACGGTCTTAAAATTCATCAAATGGATGTTAAGACAGCTTTTCTTCATGGTGACCTTGAAGAAGAAATTTATATGGATCAACCTGAGGGATTTGTGGCAAAAGGCAATGAGAGAAAAGTTTGTAAATTAGTTAAGTCCTTATACGGACTTAAGCAAGCCCCTAAGCAATGGAACGAAAAATTTGATAAAATAATTTTTTCGTTTGGATTTACTCTTATAGATGATGATCAAAGCGTTTATTATAAATGTAAAGGTGATATAAGCATTATTTTATGCCTATATGTTGATGATATATTATTATTTGGCACTAATGATAATATTATTTTTGAGACTAAGTCATTTTTGAAAACTAAGTTTGAAATGAAGGATATGGGGGTGGCTGAAGTAATTCTTGGGCTAAAGTTGACTAGATCAACTGAAGGCATTTCTATTTCTCAGTCACATTATATTGAAAAATTAATTGAGAAATTTGGATTTAAAAATAGTAGAATTGCTAAAACACCCTATGATCCTTCAGTAGCTTTGTATAAAAATGAAAGTGGTGTTCCTGTGTCTCAATTACGATATTCTCAGATGATTGGTAGCTTGGGTTACTTAGCTAACTGTACTAGACCTGATATTGCATTTTCAGTGTCTAAATTGAGTCGGTACACTTGTTGTCCAAACAGAACTCATTGGGAGGCCTTAAATAGAGTATTTAGATACTTGAAAGGAACTATTTCCTTGTGTTTGCATTATGGTAAATATCCTCCTGTTCTTGAAGGATATAGTGATGCAAGCTGGATAGCTAAGAACTCCGGGAGTTATGGGTGTACTGGCTATGTGTTTACATTTGATGGTGGGGCTGTTGCCTGGAAGTCCACTAAACAAACTGTACTTTCTCGGTCTACTTTTGAGGCTGAATTATGTGCGTTGGATACTACAGGAATTATGGTTGAATGGTTTATGGGACTAATGTCCGAGTTACCTATATTCAGCAAGCCAATTCCACCTATTTGTTTGCATTGTGATAGTATGAGTACAATTGCAAAAATTAGGAGTACCAAGTATAATCAAAAGACTAGGAGACACATTCAAGTTAGATTAAAAACTATAAGGAAATTTGTGTCTCAAGGGGTGTTTGCTGTTGATTTTGTTGGATCCAAAGATAATACAGCAGACCCTTTAACAAAAGGACTTGATTTAAATCAAGTGATAAAATCAAGGTTAGGAATGGGACTGAAACCCAATAATTATTCATCTATGGTGGCAACCCAACCTATGTGAGTGGAGATCCCATAAAGTAGGTTCAATGTGGTATAAACAAACTGTAGAGTGAATTGTGCATCTCATTAAAATAATTTTATGAGTTCTATTCCTTGATAAGCCTTAGAGATGCTGAAGTTGCTAAGTTAGTAAGAGTTTAAGACTCTGAATGGGATCGAGCTTAATTGCAGAGTGTTAGCAATGCACTCTTGGAGATGCCCAACTATGAGAATGTTATTGTGTGGCCGCAATAAGAGAAGGTGGGTTTATTCTCGATGACATTCTTGAGACAGGATCGGACGCACGGCCGTAAAGCGTCACCCCTATAGATCGTTGCCATTGCCTTTAGTGTGTTGCTTTTATCCCACGCCAACACAATCAAGGTTCGAGTTCAAGAACTCTGTTCACTCAGTTCCTGTGGGGGTTAGGGGTAAGAGCTTAGAATTTGGTTCAAACCGGAAGGTACCATATTCGAAAGCACACTATGTCTTCTAGAGTTGAGTCTACAACTATGGATTTGTGGGGAATTGTTGGAAATATGATATAAATATTATTATTTTTGGGTTACAATTTTGTGCTCTAAGTAATAATTGTATTAAATATGGAGTGAAGGCTGATAATACATCAAAGAACAATTTACATATTTGGATTTAAATTATAATTAGAATCCATAGTTGTAAAGATTGTAAAGTGATGTATTTTAACAATTAATTTATTTGTTCTATATTAGAAGAAAACAGTCTCATATGAATACATATAATCATTTGTGATAAGGAACATTGTTCAAGTATCGCATAAGGTGATGTGACATTTTGATTTACACTTATGTGTGATTCTGACCGGACAGATTATAAGTGATGTGATTAATTTCGCAATTGTAGAGACTGTCTAATTGTGTGAACAATGTAATAGCTGATTGGATTATTAAATTGAATTCAAATTCAAAATGATTATCCTTAATGCTATTGATGAATCTTTACAATTGATCCGTTTTTCTGCCGTTCAACACTCAGGTTTAATGAGCTTTGATTTCCATGCGTTGCAAAACAATCCACTCGTTTCCTTCTTTATTATAAATAGCTTCAATATAGGAGATGTACTGCATGCTAATTCTAGACTCTGCTCCTACGTATAAAGAAGGAAAAGAAAAACTCTCCCATTCTACATTATTTTGGCCACTAGCTTTTGATCATACGTAATCACTTTTGATTTTGAGTGGGTCAATTCCTCCACTAACTTTTTTATCCCAAGAAGAGAACGTATAATTATATATATATATATTATACTTTTCATAATTGTTCAAGGCTACTCTATTACTTGGCAAATTTGGCAACGGTCGAAGGTTTCAGTCAAGGTAGCTACACGCCTGAAACGTGGTAGGATTATCCTGGGAGCGAGCTAGCCAGACCCGTCCGAATAGCTATCGGGATACGGGGGCTATCTTTCTTCAAGGCCAATCCGGTTTTACGGGCGATCCTGCGATAAGTTTTCTTATCCTTTTCCTTTTTTTTCCACTTTAATTTATTCTAATTATTATTATTATTATTCTATTCTTGCATTTGGCGGTTTGTCCGGTGATTTGTTTAAACTCGGGATTTTTATCTGGTTAAACTCGCATTTTAATATCATATTCTAACAGATACCAGGAGAATTCCTGTAAAAAAGACAACTTGACTCGTTTTCATCGTTCATGGGTTTAATTGGTTGATATTTGAGTTGATGGATTTAATTAACATTTTCATAATGGTAGAAGGACTTATTTGACACTTTTCTCTTAAAAGTTCAATTTTGACATGTTATGTTCACATTCTCACTATCAAACTTTCTTTCTCAAATTACCTTCTCTAGCAAAATCAGATCCTATATACCCTTCAATCCTCTCAAAATTGCTTGGTTACATTGACGGTTCCATCCAGTCCTCATATTTCTCTAGTCCCTCGCTCGAATTTCTATGTGACCAATTATCTGTTATCAGATACCCATTTTTTTATCTGTGGTCTGGAACCATCCTTTGAGGTTCTGGATGGCAAAACCCCATCCCGCATTCCGTGATCTTCTCACTCAATCTAACGGTCATGTGACTCTCCTTCTCGGTGGTGGAGATGGGGAGGGGCTGGAGGGGTTTTCGCTCTCAATAAAAAATTTGTGATATATATGTACAAATATTTATAAACTTTGTGATGTATTTGTATAAAAATTTGTGGAGTACATGTATAAATATTTATAACTATTAAAAAATATAGGGAAATTTTACTTTACTCTCGATATAAATTCACCCGGCCCTAACTTGATATTTCTGCTTAGAGTAGGGGGGATTACATATCTGATGAAATGGTTTGGATCACACATCTCCCCACTCTTCTATGTGACAAGCATAGCGACATTTTCTTAAGTCAAAATCCGGCATCTCATAAACGTGCCAAGCAGATTGACTTAGATTAACATTTTGTGTGCGAACTTGTTTCATAGGGTCACCTATATACTCAATTTGTGATTCTGTTCATTTCTCTCCTTTGCACAACTCTCAACCACTCAATTTTTACTTTTCTTATTTCTCTCCTACTTTGAACTTGACAAAGTCCACCGAAACGGAGATAATGCTATAAATATTCATGAAATATATACCTCACTTCAAGGGAGTGATTACACAAATCTTACCGGATGCACGAATGTTATCTAAGTAGTTACTCCATATTTTTTATATTTATTCCTTTACTTCAAAACAAAAATGCAATGCATAGAAGTCTTTTTACAAAGTTTAACTGCAGTCTGAATTCAGTTACGTACTTTGTGATACTTGAAAATGCAGTAATTCATGAAAATACAGTACTACATTTCTAGTGTGTATGTTAAATATTTTGTAAAAATTAATTACTATATACTCCATAGTATATTTCTACAGAACAAGTAGGCAGAATTAACTAAATCTAATGCTTGATAAGTGATAGTGTTGAGTAATTTCTGCAGCTTCTGCTTCTCGTGGGAACAAAACTGGAGCACATTATTACTGAATTAGCCCAAGCTTTCGCAGAAAGAGAATCAAAGGACGCTTCTGATGAGTTGTTTTGGTTCAAAAGCCCAAAGCTTGTGCTTCACCTAATTCACTTCATTCTGTTCCAGAACTCCTTTGAGATTGCATTCTTTTTCTGGATTGCGGTAAGACAACCCATACATAGTAGTGGAAACAAAAGGATAATTTCTGTTTTCATTCCACCAAATTTAGTATTATTATTGATATCAAAATCATATCCGGTTGTGATTCATTTTGTGTGGCAGTGAGTCGTGGCACTCATTATTTAGAGTAAGCCCGCTTATAGTCTACTTGACTCGTTTATCCACCACCTATGTTATCTAGTCCGATTTGAACTAGGCGCGTTTCATAAAAGACTCTAAGGAGGTTACTCTAGTCTTTGATAATAATGTAGTTGTCCCACACCGGCTGTCATTTTAACAATTAAATCCTATATTAAGATGTGAGCCCCTCCTTCTATCAGGTTCTCCTTTTAGGATGGAAACACAGATCTTAAGATGGTATCAGAATCAAATTGATTATAATTGTTTAAGGACTATGACTGTCAAGGACTAACAAATTGTCATTATAATTTGCAGTCTACGTACGGCTTTAGATCATGCATCATGGAAAGATTGGATTTCAGTGTTTCACTATCCCGAAGCTTGTAATGGGGTAATTTTTAATACTTCAATTCTCATATGTACTAATCAACCTTTAAGTCCTTTATTTCGACCAAAATAGATTTTAACAGGTAGAGCCAAAATTTACCATTATACTAGTAGTTTTTACCAGCCGACGACATTGATTTGAGGCTTTGTTATAGTTTCATTCTTATATGGAATAATATTGGAATTCAATGTAGGTTGATTGTTCAAGTTCTCTGCAGCTACAGTACATTCCCTTTATATGCTTTAGTTACCCAGGTAAATTTTGAAACTTTATACCATTTGGATGCAATAGATAAAATGAAATAATGACAAATATGTGACTAAAATAAAGATGATGGATAAAAGTGTGACGGAAACCCGAAGTGTGACTTTTTATACGTACTTTAATAACTGTAAAAATATGGTTTTCTAAAAAAACAATAAGAGTAATTTTGGTGACTATTATTATGTTCAATTTTATACAATAATTACCATGATGTGTTTGAATAAATTAGTTACATCCTTATATGTAGTATTACTTTTCATATATTCCAAAATCTTTTTACTTTTCAACCAATTTATTACTCCGAAAAATAAAGGTGTATAAAATTATTTATACATACGTAGTTTAAGGATGTAACCTCACACAATGACTATAGACCCCTTGAAAAACGACATGTGTAGAAATCAAAAGTGATCATATATCAAGAGAAATACTCTTCAGCTAGATTCTATAAAAAATTACATAAACAAGTGGCTTCATCTTCCAAAAAAAGTGGCTTCATTATTACTCTCTATTTCTTATTACTCTCTATTTCTGTGGTGATAATAAATAGTGATGAAGCTAAACAGACTTCTAAAAATAAATAAATTGTCCTTTGTATGCATTATTATGAGAGCGTTTAATTTGTATCTACTTCTTAAAACTTTATCTCCTCCTTCAGGGAGTATAAGCAGATATTGGAGTGTTTGAGTGAAAGTGAATAAGTACTTCTCATGCTCCAAATTGCTTTTTGAATCAGTTATTCAGAAGAAAAATCCATTCCAAACACTATATAAACATATTGCACTGATATTTCTTTTCCACTTTTTCTTCAAAACAACTTACCAAATTGCATCAATTTTTTAAATACAGATGGGGAGTAGTTTTAAACAAGGGATGTTCGACCAACACACACACGCAACTCTCGTTGACTGGGCCCAAGGATCAAAAACGGGTTCAACGGCCCATTTAAGAACACTCCCATTTGAAGGCGTTGCCGTATCTGAAAGGCCCGCAATCCGAAAATGCCTCTCATCAGCAATTCCGCTCTCTCGTTAAAAGAAAATGCAGCGGTTTCTTTTGGAGAAAACGGCAGTTTGGACCTTAGCCGCTATTAACCAAACGGAGCCATTAAATACTATCTTTGTTCCTGAAATTAGTCCCAAAACTTAAACTTGTATTAGTTCTTTGTTCTTAAGCACCTAATTACATATTACTTAAGCTAATATCAAGCCTTAGGGAGAAAATTAATAAAACGTGAATTCCCATGTTTTCCTCACGACTTGTTTAGTCTCAATGTTCTCTTGGTCCAAAAAGGTGGAATCTCCCACCCCAGGAACCCCCCATACCCCGACGCGACAGGATTTTTGGGAAGATGTTAATCACGGTGACTCAGTCGGCCCAATGATGGTAGGCCTTTTTCCCGTGCGCACCAGAGGCCCAGCCTTATTTCAGGTTCTGTGACCTCCACACGGCCGCTGCGGGTTTCGAACCTTGGTCACTTGGTCCAAATTTCACACCACTGAACCAACTGAGCTACCCGTGCGGGTAGTCTCGATGTTCTCTTGGCATATGCTGTGAGAATTTCTATAATGACACCAACTATGGAGTATAACTAATGAATTAACACTGTAGATGAATTGCACGAAGGTGACAAGAGTCCTAACTCCTAAGATATAAATGTATAAAAATATGAAATGGAAAATTCTAATTATGCATCAAAGATTGATTTTTATGTTTACATACATTTTATATAAGGATTAGAATCCATAGTTGAAAAAGTGCGTGCAAAGTGATATATTAAAGTGGCAAATTTAATTATCCTATTTAAAGGGAAAAAATCTCTTATCATTATTTATAAAATAATATCAAAGTATATGACAAGGAGCATAGTTCAAGTAACATATGTATGATTTTTTAAAATTAGTGGATTTTTTTAGTCAGAATCTGGTGGTTCGTAGAATCTGAAAAGATTTATTTAGTCAAACTTTCTCTTTTATTTTGTATTTATATGTATTTTTGTTAGTTTTTCGTGCATTGTTCACCAATAATCCATCTAAATGTATAATTTACGAATTATATTTCTATTTATGAACCGTATAAAAATAAAAAAAGCTTCATGTATATATCTTAATGATAAAATCTATAATTCACGAATCGTATGTATTCATACATTTTTATTCAAAATTTAGTCAGTTACACTCGAGCCAAACAGAATTGCGCGCACAACTAAAGCCAAGTGTCATACATATATCTTATGGGACGGTGTATAGGGAGAGTCAAGCGTCAGATCAATCAACGTATCAAACGCGCAAGCTAGTCAAACCGATGTTTAAATGTTTTAAGAGAACGACTCAAAGCAATAAAAAATACTACCTCCGTCCCCCTGTTACTGTCCCATTGCGGTTTACGATGCTTGACAGGCGATAAAGCAAATAGATCCCTGTGTTGACCAAGTGAATAGGACATGGGACAATAATAGGGGGACAGAGGGAGTATTACATTTCCTCCCACTGACATTTGAACATGAGAAGGTGGTACGCATTAAGAAGAGTGAATTTATATGATTAACATTGAATTAATAAAGTGAGAATTAAGTAAGAATGATAATTAATCATAAGAACTTTACCGATTTTAGTTTCAGACAATCTTAGTGGGACAGACAAAAAAAGAGACAATCTTAGCGGGACGGAGGGAGTATATGAACAATTAAACTAGAAGGGAAATAATGCATATAAGGAACAACCATATGATTGAGGATAAGGAGTCAAATAGGGATCTTGAGAAAGTAATCACCTAACAAAAGGAATATGTACAAGTTACCTATGGAGGTGGCTCATCAAACCTCTTCTCCCACCCGGATAGCTGGTAAAACCACAATGCTAGAATTATTTTGTTGTTTTCTTTAAGAAATTGTTTGTTACATTACCCCTCATTTTAGTATCAAGTTCAGTAGTGCTATTAGATTAGTTTACATATTTGCGGGGTTAGCGAATATGATCGGTTCTTGAGGGCTAATCGATTCTATGTCTCAAATCACAGTGTAATCTTGAGTTATTGTATTGCTTTACCTCTTGTTACTTTCATTATTAATAAATAAGTTTTCTTTTTGCAAAAAAAATACTACACATGACAAAAATCCGAGTTTAATTTAAAATTATGATGTTTTTAATTGAATTGCAATTTTCTGGCCACGCTTTGTCTAATCTAGTTTGATATGTTCAAGTCTAATCTAAATTCTAAAATTAGAGATATTAGTTTGAATATTTTATAGTTATCGAAATCGGGTCTGATGTGATGTGATTATTTAAATCATACGCAAATTATACCTGGGGATCGATCCACCCTCCGGTCCGCATGGTGTGTCGATCCCACTTTTAGAAGTTAGGTATATTACTTCCTTTCTACATGGAGCTTCTTCATTCCTTTTTCTTTTCCTTTCATTTCTTTATTTTTCTTTTCTTTTGCTTTTCAATTCTTGTCCTTTTCCATCAAATTAAAATATTAAAAATTTAATTGCAATTTTACTTTCTTCATCTTCAACTTAAATTATAATTGTATTTATTTTTTTATTCTTTAACAATACATAAGAAATTTTTTATTAATCTAAATAAAATAAGTATATTGCATTTCATTTTCATACACTATTTTTATTTCTGTAATATTTTTATATTCATACACCATTTTTGTAATACCTTTTTGATATTCATACATTTTTTTGTAATAAACTTTTATATGCATACACTTTTTCTATAAGTTTTTACCGATTTTATATGTTTTTAGAGGTTTTTAAGACACTGAGTTTGTTTATTTTGATTCTTGGAGATACATTTGAAAATATACGAAGTTACACATTCTTATGCTCGAGTTACATCTTGTTATGCGTAAGTTACATTTAATTATGTGTGAATTACATCTAATTATTTGTGATTTTTTACTTATCTTTATTTTAAACGAATTAAATTACAACTGAATTAATTTTTTTCATTACGAATTTATTACAAAATTTTATTAATGCACATAACATAAGTATATTGGATATCACAATCACAAAATAAAACCCTTGTATTGAATAAAAAAAAACCTTTTTTTAAAGGGAAAGTTCCCGAAATAGGACTAAAACAGTTTCAAAAATGCCAAAATAGGGTTGTCATGTTTTTTATTCCCCAAATAGGAGTAATTACTACCAAGTTTAGAAAATACTGTCATGTTTGAAGTTTGGTACTGCCAAAACATGGCAGTAATTAATCCTATTTTGAGAATAAAACATGGCATTCCTATTTTGGAATTTTCAAATCTTTTTAGTCCTATTTCGGGTAATATTCTCTTTTTTAAAACGACTTTCTTTGGAAAAAACGATTCTTTGAAAAAAAATGATTTATTCAAAACATTTTGTGGTCTTTAATATTGAAAACACAACATATTCACTATTTAGGTAACGTAAATAAGAAATTAGACTTCTTTTTTTATTGTTTACATTGAAATCATTGTTTTAGACAAGTTACATTTCGACTTGTCTACAATAACCTTTCTTATTAACGTGAGTTACATTTCTTTACACGAGAGTTACATCATTCATGCTACCGGGACAAAAGAAAAAAACCGTTACCGTTCAGGCGTTCACGCCATTATTTTTTACACAAATGCTATTGCTACCCCAATTTGTACCCCATTTGGTACCCCCTCCCTATATTTGTGGTTCATAAATGCACTTCATCAAAATAGAGCAATTCATTTAGTGTGATGGGCTTTTGTGAACCACAGACTTGTTCCCTCAACAAGCTCACGTGCGGCCTTAGCTCCTTTTCGCCCCTCGCAGTAGCTAAGTCAGCCTAACAACGCCTTAGTGTTGTGTGTGCTAGGTGCTTGGCTAGAAGGAAATGTGGCAAAGGCAAGAACACTTGAAGAAAGCTTAAGACTATTGAATGCTTGGAAACTTCGATGACACCCCATCCCTAAGGGCCCCTCAACACCGATTGGACGGTGCGTTGGGAGGATGTATATTGAATTATAATCACAATATGACAGATAGAGAGTGAGGCTCTGTCCCCGTTACTTGCAGAGCCTCTATGCATTTTTTAGCATAGTAACCTCTCATCGTAGTTACCGGGATTCGAACCCAGGATTTAACCTTTGTGGCACTCCCTCGCTACCAGTTGAGCTACGCCCACCGGTAAATTGATCAAAACTGATCTATACGAACTGAAGTCATACAGTGGAGTACCAATTAGAAAAGGGCGTTATTTGTGGGCCCACCCCGACGCAATGATGGATTTGACATTACACCTTTGTTAGTTTTGACATTTAGGGCATCTCCATCCATAGGATTATTTGAGTATTAAGTTGCTGATGTGGTGGATTATTTTTGGGATCGTGATTGAGTAGAGATGGACTAAACCGGGCCGGCCCGGGCCGGAACCGGCCCGGCCCGTTACTGTTTGGGCCCGGACCGGACCGGGACCGGTTGGCCGGTTCCGGGCTTTTAGCCCGTTTGGGCGGGGCCGGGCTCGGGCCCAACTTTTGGTGAACCGGGCCGGGCGATTCGGGTCGGGCCCGGTTCATTTTTTTTCAATTTTTTTGCTTTTCTAGGTTAGGGCTGGGTGTTTTGAGGGGGTGAGGGGGGGGGGGGGGTCGGGTATTAACTAGAAAGAAAAAAATGAACTTGACCCAGGCCGGTTCCGGGCCCAACATTTTGCAAAAAAAGCCCGTCCGGGACCGGCCCGGGTCCAACCCTATGATTGAGTGATGAAGATTATTTTACAAAATAATCCACCAATGATGGATTGGTGGATTATTGTGGAGCTAGTATTAATAGGTGAGTGCGAGACCCAAGATTTGATTATTTTATTTCGGACCGACTTGGCGCACCTTAAAATGTGCTGGGCGCACCCCACTTTCTTCAAAATCGGACATATTTGTCCTCCTCCTTATTTGTGTTTTTTGTTGATCGTGCTCTTTCAGTCTTTTGTAAGTTTTACTTCGTATCAATTTATTATGTTCTCCATATTAGATTTTTTTTATTCAAAAGCATCGTTTGGTGGAATGCTCTTCAATGATTTTTTTGATAGATTTTAGTAGCGTGTTTGATAACACTTAAATTGGGTGAATTGGCTAATCTTGTTGAAATTTTTTAAGTTGTGGTTGAAATGGTAGGATCGGCCGATTCTGCCGACTTATGAAATGATTATATTTAAAATACTTTTTATTAATAAAAGTAATAAAAATATATTTGAAAAAATAGCTAAAATGATCCTATTTGTGTACTTTACCAATA